AAAAATCCTAAACAAAGTCGGATTCCAAAAGAACAAATATGGGGTTGTAGGGCTTAAAGTTCCCTACAACCCCCTCCCTTTTTTTTTTTTTGGGGCTATTATTTAACTCAGGAAAAATCTGGTAAAATCGGGTCTGCGGCGCGGACCCGGTAGGCTGCGGAGGCGGCCGTGAATACGTCCGCCCTCCGAGCTCAGCCCCGCGGACGCGTCCGCGGGTGTTTCATAGTTTCAAGGTCCGGGTAGTGCTAGTGATGTTGGTGTAGTACACCGCTAGCAGACCCAGGAAGGCTCATCTATTGGTGGGGAGCTACACCTGCTGGAAACCGGGTCCAGCGTCCCTTACATGAAAGCATTGCTGCAAAAAACATTAGACGAGATAGAGCGCGGATGCTGGAAACCGGGTCCAGGGTCCCATCCTGGCCTATCCTAAAAACAGGGTTGTAGCAGGGGCCCAATCAGAACCACTGGGGGGCACCAGTAAGTTCCTTCTGTTTCCTTGCTTGCCCGCCAACCTTTTTGCTGCTCTGTTTGCCGCATAAAGATAACCTCAGCCCATTTTGTTAAAATGCAACCCCACAAAAACCAGCATCCAAAATAGAGACTCATGACCTAGTTATTTCTACTAGGGATAAAGGGTGTGGGCACTGTGGGGGGAAGGGGTCCAGGCAATCGGAAGCTAGCCTCACTGGGAAGCTCGGGACCTCGGGTCAATGTCAGTCCATTCCTTAAATTTCAGGCAGTAATCCCTTCTTACCATCTCTCCCTCCCCCTGAAGGCCCTCGTCCGCATCCCCTGACCATCTCACCTGCGCAATCCAGCCTCCTCTTTCCCTTCCCAACCATTCTTGGCAGAATTTAGTGATGCTTTCTTTAATGTCCTTTGGTTGCTGAAAGAGGTCTAGCTTGCGTTTTACTGTCTGCCATCTATCAGTTATGTCCAACTGGAGTTGATTTTTGATATGCTCGCGCACCTCCTCCCCCTCCAATCGTACTTCTTCCATTGTCAAAGCACATATTTGCCACCACAGCGTCCATAAGATTGTTCGTCTCCCCAGGTCAAACATATTATTCGCAAATTCGTCTTCGGGCCGTCCTGGCCAATAGCCTGTTAGGATGGCCTGCCAGTCCAATGGCCAGAGGGATCCAGGGATTATGTGCTACCAGAAACGGTCCCACCAGCGCCAGGTGAGGGCGGCGTTCGGGCGCTGTAGAAAGATATGCTCAATGGTTTCAGCCACTTTTTTGGCCGGGTACCCTCGGAGGCATCTGCTGCACCAGGGGAGAGCGCGGCCCTGCTGTTCCAGCCTGGTGTGGTCAATCTTCTTTCTTTAGTCTCTCCATCTTCTCCTCCAACTTCTTTTTCTTCGCCGCCTGTTCTTCCGATAAAGCCTTCTTCTTCAACTCCTTTTCCGTTCTTTCCTTCAGCCCAGCGACAAGCTACTCTTCCTGCTCTTTTTTATACGGGGTGGTGGTTGTATCCTGACGTGTGGTCATCGTGGTGAAAGATGCATAACTAGGTAACAATTCCACTCCTCACCACTTAGACTTCCACCGCACTGACTGACTAACTAACTGACTCTCTAAGGACTACAGAGTCCTCCCCTTTGTTCCAGCCATGTTACCACAGCCGACGGAAGCTTTCGCCCCCACTGCGGTCAACCCACCTGGCTTTTACTCTGGTTCAGA